GCTGCAGCCGCAGGGAAGCTCTCCCCTCTGGCCACTTCTCCCACTGTAGCACCCAGTTTATGCTGGCCAAGGACCTTTCCTAGGGCTGGACAGAGTTGTTCTTTTGGGGGAGACTCATTATTTCATGTATTATTGTGTCCTCCTATGCTCCCAGGTTCAGTGCCATAGCAGAGCAGAACAGAGACACGTCCCTTCTCTCCCAGGCTGGCAGGGATGCGTGATTAGCCCCGGGTTTTTAGGATTTAAGCTTGCCTGCTCTGGCTTGTATGGAGCAGTTTGTGATGGCAACCACCTACACGGCCACAGCAGCTGGGGAGCAAAGACCCTGCCTGGGTGTACTTGAAAATGTCTTTTTTTTTTTTTTTTAAATATTATTTATGTGAGTTTATAATTCAGTAGCAGCATGACTCACTTTTTTCCTGAAGATAGAAGGAGGAATGTGTCTGTCTCATTACTGCTCCTGGGCTTTGCCAGAAGGCAGCTTACTTTTTAATCACACGTGGCCTTCGGTGGGGCCATTGGGACTGACACTGACCCGCAGCTGGAGGCACACGGAATAGATGCAGGGCTCGCTGTCCTGGGCCGCAGTGCTGGGAATCACCCGCCAGCAGCTGGGACCCCTGTGCGCTGTCCCCTAGCCCTCGCTGTCCCTCCTCAGTGGGATATTGCTGCTCTGACAACTGCACATTCCCTGCTCTGCATCCCAGCCCAGACAACAGTTCTCATGCTGGGGTTTTGACGTGGCAGGAGGAGGCTGTGGTTCTCCAGCAGGCACGTCCAGCCCCACAGAGAAACATCTCTCGACATTTGCTTTATTTCGTATTTATTAGATTGTACTGACACATACCCACCCTGCATGTTCAGCTAAGAGATGGAGAGGCTTGCTAAAGCTCTGAACATAGCCGAGCATGTGGCTATGTTTTATTTTCCCCTGGTACTGGGAACTCTTGATAACTATTGCAAAAACTGTATCGATATTTAAATAATGATGAATACATTCTAAATAAAAATGTTTGCATTAGTCCCCTCTAAAATGCCACTGTGTGAACCAAAGGAAATGCACAGAGATGCGATTCACTGGCCAAGGTTACTCTGAAAAGTCATTTTACAAATAGCTTCACCCAGAGACTGTTTTAAACTATGGGAAGATGAAACAGCCATTTATACCCTTTAGGTACCTGAAGCCCCGTGAGCCTGGGGGATGCTGGGTTTTCGGGGTCCGTGCTGTGCTAGACAGCAAGCTCAGCACAGGGACCCCCATCCTTGGGAACATAAAGGACCACCTCCTCGATGCAAAAGCTTTCTCACTCAGAGTTCCAGAGGGGAACATGCTTTAGCTCAAAGCTCAACCTGTCCCTGAGCCCAAACCCTGCAAGTGCGGAGCTGCCGCCCAGCATGGTAGGGGGTGAGCAGGGCCAGATCCTGCGCAGCCCCTGCCCCTGTGGGTACCGTGGCCGCTGCTGCAGCTTGAGCCAGAGCCTGGGGAAGTACCCGTGCAGCAGGGCTGGGGTGTCCGTGCCGTGCTGGCGCTGGGGAGCATCCTCTGGACCAGCCTCCTGGGGTGATGTTTTTATTCCCTTTTCGGTTTGTGGAGAAACCAGCACATCTGTTGCAGCAGAAGCTCTCTGCGGGCCTTTGGTCTCGCCAGGGATTTTGGGCACAGGTTTTGGGAGTGCCCTGGAGAGGGTGAGGAAACATCAGACCTTCAGTGCAAAGAGACAATGTGAGGAGTCCATCGAGACAGTAGCAGAAATACATGTTTATGTGAGGATTACTGAGTGGTACAAGAGTATGAGTTAACACAACCAGTTCCTCAGTGCACACCACTGTCCCCCGCCTTCCCCATGTGAACATCTCTAGTGGAACTCACATGGAGAACATCAGTCTGAAAACCTGCTGCTGGCAGCTGTAAGGAGCCAATCTCCCTCCTGACCTTGCTCCAGCCCTTGGCCACAGCTCTCAGCACCCTCCAGGCAGTGACCAAGGACTGGGGGACCCTGGGCGAGCCCTGGGACACCCTCAGCCCCCGTGGGCAGCTCCTGCCGCTGCCTCCCAGGCTTGGGCAGTCCCTGAGGCTGGGACAGGACAGCACCGACAGAGCCCTGCCTCGGTGTGCTGGGAGAGAGCTGGATGATTCACCCCATGGCCGGTGAGCTGTGAGGGTCCGGGTCACCAAAGTAACGAGGAACCACACAGCAAACGATCCCCCATCATTAATCCGAGGGATGTGGCTGCAGGGAGCCCTCCTCTGTGTGTCCCCAGGGTGGGGAGCTGGCACCAGGGAGGGATGGAGGCAGCGCCTGGTGCCCAGGGACCCTGGCTGCAGCGTGGGGTTGCCTTGCCCCACGCAGGGGTTGGGGTCCCTCGGAGACCGCCAGACCTGCCTCCTGCCCCAGCCTGAGCACCAGGATGGACCGGGTGGCCACGGGCACAGGGTGGTTTCAGGGGATGTTTTGGAAGATGCACCTTCGTGTACACTTGGGTGGATGGCCAAGGCTTCCCTCAACGGGGTCTGGGACCGCACTGAACCCACCTGCACTCATCTCTATGACAGACCCCAGGCACAACATCCAGAATTTCTGCTTTCGGACTCTCTGACTCACTGAGGATCCAGCTGCCCACATTAGGAGTACGTACATATGTGTGTGTGTATGCTTATATACGACTATAGGGATACAGACGTACAGTGTTGTGTGTATAGTGCTTGTACGTATGCCAAATTCCACAAAAGCAAGTGTGATAAGATACATGAAGTATTTCCTACCAGAAGTATGACGGCTGATATTGGGCTGACAGTAAGTACCCCTCGGCCTGTGGAAAGCTCGGCTGTGGGGTGGGTATGGGCATTGCCGCCATTCTGGGGCAAGCCTGCCCCAGGAATTAGCCAAACGACCCTTCTACACAAAAACAACTTCCCAAGAGCTCCAAACCACTCTGGGGGCCATGGCCAGCTGGTAGCTCACTGGCACCCACTCAAACCACCCCCTAAAGCAGGCTTACAGCATTTGAGCAGAAATAAAGCTGGGGAGAGATTTCCAGTGGAGCTGTTTCACATCTCCTGAATCCAGCCTCCACCTTTCTTTTTGGCACATACATACCCAGCCTCCTCCTCCCTGCCCCGCACGTCACTGCTTCAGCGGGTGACATCTCAGGGTGTGACAGCGCATAGCAAGCCAGCCTCCAGCAGCACCCCGGCCTCTGTGACACGTGTGAGGGCATCTGGAAACAGCTATCAAAGGATTAAGTCAAAATGAAAGATCTAGGTCTTTCTGCAGGGCAGTCTGCTCAGCTTTGCCTTTCCATGAGTCACCCTGTAAACTGGGAGCTTGAACATGCTGAACCCGCTGGCGTTGACGCCGGTTCATGGAGGCGGCAGGAGGGTGCAGGCAGCGCGTGGGCAGAGGTGCTGGAGCACCCCGCAGCAGAAGGGCTGCTGAGCCCCCCCTGGGCTCCTGCCTCCCTCCTGTAGCCCACCTGCCCTGGGCAGTGGGTGCTGCTGGGGGATCCTGCACCCCTCCTGCTGCTCTTTGGGGCTCTCTGGGGCTGCCTGAGCCACCCCTCACGGGAAACGCCCCGCGAGCATTACTCCTGCTGCTGCAGCACCAACCTTCGGAGGCTGTTTGCTCCAGGATTAAAAAAAGAAAAGTCACGTTTGCGATGGCCTTCATCCTTCCCCTGCCTCCCCATCCCTGCCTGGACAATGCAGCCCCCTTCCTGCAGCTCAGGATGTATTTCTCATCATCACCATAGTGACAGTGTGTAAATATTTGGGGCTGGTGGGATTTTGATGAGATTTTGAGAGTCTTGAAGAAGCTGGCAGACTGCTGTTTACGTTCTTGCGTTTCACATGGAGCCTCACGGCTTGCCATTTTGGCTGAGCAGCCCGAGGAGGGTAGCTGGTCCGGGGCGCCTGCTGGGAGCACGGTCGCTTGTTGTGTTGCCCGCATCTGTCGGGTCACCAGCTGAAGTGGCTCATTACAAGCCATGGCCCTGAGGATGCTGCACCAGGAAACTGTCACAGGGACGAAACGTCCAGGCTCCACGGTGCAAGGGTTCATCGCATTCGTCTCAAGACTGAAATGAGACCCCAGCTGCCCTTCCACGGGTGCCCTCACCCCATCCTCAGACCTGATTTCTTCTGGTAGCCAACAGTGGGCTGACTTTGGATCATTTGAAAAGCCCTGGGCTTGTTAGGAAACAGCCTCATGGAAACACACATCCTGGGCAGACGGGAGGAGGCAGGAGAGAGGGAGATGCAGGCTACACAAACTCTGCCGATTTTTCATTTTTCCAATGATGGTTTTGTGTTTGGGTTTGGATTTTTGGGTTTGTTTTTGTTTTTTAATTGGATCTGTCAGTTGCAATTGCAGATTTTTTTTTCCTCTGAACATGATTTTCCTCCCTCCTCTAACCGATGCCCCTCAGTTGGGTTTGTGCAGAAGTATCGCTTTGGCGTGCCTGCTGCAGAGAGAAGCAACCAGAGCAAAAACCGGCTGCAGCGACACCCTGAAGCTGCGATCCAAGCACAGCACAGGCCATGGGCACGGCTCAGGGCTGCGCGTAGGCACTGGGGACGCGGGCTGCGAGCTCAGCACGGCATGCAAGCGGCTGGAGCGGGCGGGAGGCGTGGGTTGCTAAACAGTCCTGGTGTTTTGAACAGACAGATCTTGTTTTATCCTCTTTGCTGTCTTTAGTGTGGAGCAAACAGGCTGACTCCTGGGGAAGCGGGGCTGCAGGCTCTCTCTGCCCTCCCCTCCTGCCAGCCAGGGGCACCCTGCAGTCTCCTGGGTCTGCCGGACCACCTTCCCTGCCGGACCACTGTCCCTGTGCCTGCTCAATGGCTGCTTTCTGAAGCCAAGGTGATGCCGATCCCACGTGGCCATGCCCCATGCTGCCCCCCACGCAC